AGACATTTCGAGCACTAGGGCAAGTTCTTTCTCCGAAAGCGGCAAAGGGCTTAGGTCGTCAAGCCAACAGAAGCTCCGTGAGGTTGTCAGCAGAGGCAGAGAAGTTCGTAGAACGCACAATAGCTTTGACGTTTGGCAGCAGTACCGAGGAGATGTCAGTTTTCTTGGAGGCTCAGGGTTTGGGCGAGAAAGAGATACCTGGTTTGCTATAGGGTGTTTTATGTTCCCGAACGGGGTGAATCTCCTGAGGAGTTATTCCCAGACACTCCATGTATGCTATAATTGACCCCCCAAACCACCTCAACTGATCGGCATATATTCCAGCAGTCACAAAGGGGTGCTTAATGGAGGTCAGGAGTGCCTATTATCCACTCACTTAGGGACTAAACACCACCCGTTTGTGACTCCTGGTTGTCAGATTTTATTGGTTTTATGTTTTTTTCGAATCGGCAAATCCAAGGATCAAGCTCCTCCGACCGGTGACTTCAAGGACGCCAGCCATGGAGTGGCTTTCGGACCTGGGGCTTAGCAAGGCTCAAGTTCTGAAGACCATCACCCGAGTTCCCCGTATTCTTGGCTGCGATGTTGAAAAAAAGTTGAAGCCAACAGCAAAGTGGCTCTTAAAAATGGGACTGACCCGGGCACAAGTTGCAAAGGTCGTGGCAGTATTCCCCTCAATTCTTGACTGCAGCATTGAGCAGAACTTGGAGCCAACAGTTCAGTGGCTCTCTAACATGGGGCTGACCAAGACACAAGTTGCCAAGGCCATTGCAGTTTTTCCTCCAATTCTTGTTTCGAGCATTGAGCAGAAGTTGAGGCCGACTGTCCAGTGGTTGTTGAATATGGGCCTGAGCAAAACTCAAGCTGCAAGGGTAATAGCAACACAGCCTCGGATTCTTGGCTTCAGCATTGAACAGAGCTTGAGGCCCACAGTTCGATGCTTTTTTGAAATTGGTCTAAGCACAGATCAAGTTGCAAAGGCGATAGCAGTTTTCCCTGCAATTCTTGGCTACAGCATCGAACAGAACTTGAAGCCCACCATTCAGTGGTTTTGCAACATGGGGCTGAGCAAAGCTCAAATTGCAAAGGTAATAGCAACATTTCCTTCAATTCTTGGCCTAAGCATCAATCAAAACTTGAAGCCGACGGCGGATTGGCTCTCTAACATGGGACTGAGCAAGGCACAAGTTGCGAAGGTAATGGCAACGTATCCTCAAGCCTTTGGCTACAGCATCCAGGACAACTTGAAACCGACAGTTCAGTGGTTCTTGAATTTGGGACTGAGCAAAACTCAAATTTCAAAAGTAATAGCAGCGAAGCCTCAAGCTCTTGGCTACAGCGTCCAGCAGAACTTGAAGCCCACAGTTCAGTGGCTCTTGGACATCGGGCTTGGCCAAGATCAAGTTGTGAAGGCTATAGCCACCTGTCCTCAAATCCTTGGCTTGAACATTGAGAAGAATCTGAAGCCAAAGCAAGCTTTGCTTGAAGCTGCGATTGAGGCAACAGATGCTGCAGACTTGATTAGCAGATTTCCGCAGATTTTTTCATATAGCTATCAGCGCTTGTCCTCTCGCTTGAGATTTCTTTCAGAAATAAATGAGACTCAAATGCTAGCATCGGCCATGTCGTACACCGAAGATGGCTTCTCGAAGCGCTTTCATGTGAGAGAACCCATGTGGTGGCAGCGCGGATGGCCGCGGCAACGTTTTGGCACTGTGGCAGAAGCAGCGTTGTTATCAAAGCTTGCAGAGGTCTTAATGCCAAAAAAACAGAAGCAGGAACTGTTCCGGAGCTTTCCATCACCAGACGGGTTGGACGAGGAGTATTTGGAGCCGGACTTGGTGGTGTATGGACTGCTAAAGGATCCAGATGCGGCCTTGTTTGTGGAATATGACGGGGACGTGGATCGTGCGAAAAGGAAAAGCAAGACCAAAGACCAGAAGAACCAAGCATTGTTGAAATATGGGCCTCCAGGGTCATGCGTCCTGCGCATCAGCCACACCCACAGCAGCCCACTGAAGGATCAAGTTCTTGAAATCAGGGTGTGTCCCTGGCAGCCGCGCAACACGTCATCCCTGCAATCCACGCTTTCCGACACGCTGACGCAGACATCTCAAGGACTTGAGCAGGTTCTTTCTTCGATAGTGGCCAAACGTTTGAGCCGCCGAGCAAGCAAACTCTCTATGAGGCTGTCTCGGAGTGTAGAGAAGCTCGGAAAGGCTCAAATTGTCGAGAGAATCACCAGCTCTTCCCATAAGCTTGGCTGCAACTGTAAGCAAAACTTGAAGCCAATAGTTCAGTGGCTCGTAGACATGGGGCTGACAGAGCAACAAGTTGCAAATGTAATAGCAAAGTTTCCTCGAGTCCTTCGCTTCAGCATCGACCAGAACTTGAAGCCGACAGTTCAGTGGCTCTTGGACATCGGGCTTGGCCAAGATCAAGTTGTGAAGGCTATAGTCACCTATCCTCGAATCCTATGCTTGAGCATTGAGAAGAATCTGAAGCCCAAGCAAACTTTGCTTGAAGCTGCGATTGAAGCGACAGAATGTGCAGACTTGATTAGCAGATTTCCGCGCATTTTTTCATATAGCTATCAGCGCTTGTCCTCCCGCTTGCGAGTTCTTGCAGAACGAAATGAAACGCATAGGCTGCCCAGGTTAGTATATGCCATGACATGCACCGAAGATGGCTTCAAGAAACATTTTGAGCATTCGTCAGGCTAGTAAGATCTAAGTGGCATGACCAGGTGCCCTGACCTGCCAGATCCTGTACCCTGGTGCACGGACCAAATCCGTGTAGGGCAGCTCCTGACAGCTCCGAGTGGACGAATGATACATTCGACTCCTTGCGATCGCTGAAGAAACACCGACCGTCGCTGGTTCTTTCGTCGACTGGGCGGTGTTTCCAGCACTGGCCTCTGGTGTTTTTTCATGTTTTTTCAGGGCCAATCAACTATACATCTGCCAACAACATCCAACAACCGCATCTACGGAGTTGGCAGTAGCGGTGGTGATTTGCCAAGAACTTCATCTGCCCTGCCAGTTGCGGCTTTCGTTGAACCGGTGAAGAGCCCACAGTAGTCGCCCTGGACTCCCGGCAGAACTGCCGTGCGGAACGTGCCGTTCCGAGTCCTTGAAAGCAATCGAAGCAGTTGGTGCCAGCGACCGTGTGCGCGCAAAAAGTGCCCTCAAAAGGTGTTCCAATCAAGCCGCCGAACGAACCATCTCCCCGAAGTCGAAGGTTCGTGTTGATCCCCACGTGCGTTTTAACCATGTAAACAGGAAACCCCTGCGTGTTCGATCGACTCTATCGAAGATCCACTAACCCTAGGGCTCCAGTCGTACCTTCGTTTCGTTTCGGTGCGACTGGGGTGGGTGCCAGGGTCGGGTCCAGTATGACCCGAACCTGAGGAGGTACGACTGGAGCCCTAGGGCTATAGTCCAATCATTTTTGGACGCCAAAGGAGTTATTGTCACCACTCCAAGTGCCCAAGTCACTGGAACTTGCGGCAAGGCAATACGGTACCATTAGATTCTGAAGAGGTTGGCCATGGATATTCCAAAAAAAACACGGTGCAATGCTTGTACACACCCAGCAACACCCAGGCCAGCACTATGCCAAGAGTATCATGTGCCGATGACTTAGGCTTTAGGCCAGCATTATGCCAAGACAAGAGTATAACAGTATAACTGTATACTGTAATACTAACGAACGTTTCAATTCTGAGAGAGAGAGAGAGAGAGACGAAACGTTGGCGGTCGCCTACTGAGTCAAGCCCTCGAACTGAGAATCCACCGTTTAGATGCAAGTTCACCAGAAAGAACCTTAGATCTACCAGCAGTGTGCCCAGATTGCCCAAAACCCGCTAAGTCCCAAGTCATGAACTCATGTCCAGTGGAAACCACCTGGACAATGAGCGTCAACGAACTTGCATTTAAACAAACATCGAGCTTTGTGCGCTACTTCAGCATGGCACGCCGACTTGTTATGGCAACTCAAGGAACACTGCCTGGTCACACTTCCCTGGGAGTAGAAGAGCAAAACAAATAAATTGCAGGTAGCACATGTTTCATGTTTCCAAGACGTGTCGGCATGCTTCAAGGATCATTGACAGGAGCATCTTGCGCTCCAGATGGAACACATCGTGACAGCTTTGATGTGTTGAGACGGCAGCGTTCCATTGTTAAGGGCATTGGGATGGTAGTCTGAAGGAGCTCCTTTAGAAGTCTTGCATTTGATGTATAGAATGCCAACCCTGAGGCACTGGATATTCAATACCCATTCCTCGGTGTCCATACCACCCGAAACATACATTGCCTTGGATATTCCATTCTAATCCTACCTTGGAAGTCTGATCCACCATGTTTAACATGAGAAAGACTTGGTCTTGTAATGTAACATCATGAGTTAAAACCCTGGTTCTTCGGGATTTAGACCATCAATGCTGAGAGCCTTAGGCCGGGCCTAGGGCCGGCCAGAACCCTTTCCGGCGAACAGCTCAGTCCCCGAGCATGGGACTGCTGACTGGGGAGTCGTTGGACCCCCAACACAGCTGGTGCTCCAAGAGATTGTCCGCTCGTCCGCAGACACAATGGGTGTGTAGCAACCGACCCCCTTGGAAAGGTTCGGAACATATGACCAGTCTAGGGGGTAGTCTACATACCGTTACCCTATTGAAAATGCCGTCCCACATATTCCCACATGCTTCTCCCTGTAAACGTGCCTTTCGATGTGAACAAAGTCTTGTTGCAAGCTTTGCTCTTGCCTTCCTTTTCAGAAAGGTCGAGCAGCATGAAGGTACCACATACTTCACTGGTCCTATCTAGACTTCTTTATCCAGAACCTGCGACAAAAAGCACTCTCCCCCCCAAACTTGCCCGGCTTCATCCCAACTTTTGAGAAGAGAAATCACTATGTAGCGACCCTGGGGTACTCTGCCACCGTGTGAGTTTTCTCCACATGTTTGCCGCGTTTGCTTCGCTGGAAGGTCCAGGACTACCATCCTGACCACGTGCAGCAGAAACAACGGCCACAGGCGTGGCAAACGGGTTCGGTGGAGCTCCAAACTGGGAGCGGGCATTTGTAGCCGCATTTGTAGCCGACCTGATGATATTCTGTGTTGGAAGAGACCCAGACAAATACTGCACTGGGACCCACCCAAACTACTTAATAGTAACTCTTCACCAGCGGGCCCATGGAAGTGCACAAATAGGAAGACCACTTTGTAGACCACTTTGCTCTACGAACAGAGAGCTCTTTTCCACGGACCCACGGAGCGACTGCCCCCGTAGTCACAGACTGCGCCCGTCCATCTATCAAGCACCCTTTTTTCGCAGTCCTAGACATTCAGGTCGTGCGTCGTGTTTGGGACATCACTGTTTTGGAGCGGAGACTGAAGGATTTGCTCGGTTAACCGTCTAATGCAGACTCTTGATTCATAACTCCCCCAATTGAATTGAACAACCTCTTCATAGGGGGTGGTTCATTAATCACGAGTCTACATGAGTGAGACTGGATGGATACACTTATGATACACTGCCTGGAACTATCAAAGACCTGTTTTTTCTTCCAGAGACAGACCATCCGAAGACCTTCGTCAGCCGCGTTTCGTTTCCGACCTTCCGAATTGTACGATCTAGGCGAGGACATGTGTGAGTTGCAAGTGATGATCCACCAGGAGCCCCTAGGGGTGTTTTATTAGTATAAGCCCTTAGAGGTAAAGGGATGTTTATTAACCACCCCCCTTGTGGGTCCTGGCCAGTGTTTGTTTTTCTTATCGAATCTGATTGAATCGATTTGGAGGGCTGATCGTGGCACCGGGCGAGAACACAAGACGCTGGAAGAAGCGCACTCTGGGTGGCGCCACCCTTTTTGTGCCACGTGTATTGGATGCCCAACTCGGCGACCGACCTAATACCGCCAGGTTGAAGCTATTCAGTGCACCCAATTCAGATAGGCCTCGTTTTGTGCGGTTCCTGTCCCCCCCATGGGCGGACTGTATGGTCACGGGGCTTCGCTTGCCCAACTGGAACTCAAAGACCATGGTGGAAAATCCCTTCCGGCCAAGTTTCAAATCAAAAAAACAAGTCGAACTGCCTGAGTCCTCCACATAATGATTCTGCCATTCTTTTTCTTCTGCTTTGGCCAACGGCTCGCGGGTCTAACTCACCACTCGCTGCAGGTCCATTCTCCGGACCACTCGCGCTTGCCACCGCAGGCGAGTAACAAGAGCCGTGGGTGGTAACAGGTGCAGCTTCAATCAGAGGTTTGCCATTCACACTGTGCGTTTTCAAGGCATCGGAAACACAGGAGAGAGGGCACCCATCCAAAAGTGGTTCAGGGTTTCCTGCATCAATATAGTAGTGAAAATTGGGCTTTTGTTCACTCACTTGAAGTTCCTGTTTGACTAGCAGTCTGGCTCTCATTCGATGTACACATCATCACAGATGCACACCTGCGCACTGCAGATGGCTTCACAACTTAGGCTTCGACATTGGCCATTGGTGTTGTTTCTGCTCAGTGTGGTGCTGCAGTTACGGCCAACCTCTGTTCCACCGCTGTGGTGGCAACGTGGATGGCCAAGAGAACGGGTAGACAGCGCGGCGGAAGCAGAGTTGTTGTCTCAGCTGGCAGTGCTGTTGATGCCGAAGACACCCATTAAGGAGTTGTTCCGGAGCTTTCCATCACCGGAAGGATGGGAAGAAGAATATTTGGAACCAGATTTGGCAGTTTATGGAGCGCTGAAAGATCCAGATGCTGCCTTATTTGTGAAATATGACGGGTGCTTGCGCCATGGGAAAAAGGGAGGCAAGACCAGAGATCAGATACAGAACGAAGCGTTGTTGGCTTATGGGCCTCCAGGGTCATATGTCCTTTGCATCAGCCACACCCACAGCAGTCCTTTGACAGGTCAAATTCTTGAAATCAGGGTGTGTCCTTGGCGTTTGGCGAACACATCGTCTCTTCAGTCTGCCCTTGCAGAAACACTTGCGCAGACGTTCCAAGGACTTGGGCAGGTTCTTTCTCCTGAATTGGCAGAGCGTCTAAGTCATCAGGCTGACAAAAGCCACATTGAACTGTCAACGATCGCAGAGAAGTTTGTGCAGGGGTTAATGGCCTTGAATGGTGGCAACACCACAGAGGAGATTCTACAGTTCCTGAAAATGCAGGGGTTCAAGTCGAAAGATATTCATGTCATCCAGGAGCATGTTTTGCTGAGGGGACAGTCCATCGAACGGACACTGCAACCTGCCATGCACTGTCTTTCCGACATTGGGCTGAGCAAAAGGCAGGTTGTGAGGTCAATCGTCAGCTTCCCCCGAATCCTTAGCTACGCCGAGGAAGACTTAACCCCGACGTGTCGGTGGCTCTTGGACATGGGGGTGACCAAAGTACAAGTTGCGAAGGTTGTGACAGGTTTTCCTCGAATTCTGAGTTTGCGGATCGATCATAACTTGAAGCCCACAGTTCAATGGCTTTTGAACATGGGACTGACCAAAGCTCAAGTTGCGAAGGCTATAGCCAAGAATCCTCGCATGCTTGGCTGCAGCATCCAGCAAAACTTGAGGCCGACAGTTCAGTGGCTTTTGGACCTTGGGCTTAGCAAGGGTCAAGTTGCAAAGACAATAGCAACTTTTGCTCCAATTCTTAGCTACAGCATTGAACAGAACCTGAAGCCAACAGTTCAATGGCTCTCTGACGTGGGGCTTAGCCAGGCTCAACT